GTGAGTGACCACTCCGTTTTTGCGCTGCTCAACAATACAATGTCCTCCGGGACAAGCCTTCTTTATCTGCGCCACGGATTCAGCGTGTCGGAACACAGCGTGTTGCGCGTGGTGGGGAACGGCGGCTCCGTGTCCAACGCCGTGTATTCACTAAGCTTTTTTACCGTCCGCCATTCAAGCTGGTTGGATTGGCGCGACAACGACGTGGGTGTGGGTGCGATGTTTCATTACTCCATAATAACTACTGTGAACATCGACGGCAGCAGTGTGGTGACGCTGGCGGGCTGCACGATGGGCTCGACGGGGTTGTCGGTATCTCTTCTATCGCAGGCTGTCGCCGGCTACCGGTTCTTTGCTGGGTGTCTTATTGTCGCGGGACGTGTGGTGACGACGGCGGCAGAACTGGCGCTCCACGGCATCACCAACGTGACGACGGTTGCTGCGTGCGGGGAGTGCACGAAGGACGGCGACTGCTTTGCACCGCTGACGACGGCGGTCGTTGACTGCAAGTGCCAGTGCGCTGCTGGAGGGCACGGCGATGTGTGCGCCCCGGCGCCTGTGCCTGCTGGCCCGCCACCACCGCCACCAACAACACCACCACCAGCAACACCCACGCCGCCACCGCCGCTGGTTGGTGAGTGCATCAGCGACATGGTGTACCCCGAGGTTGCGCAGGCCGTGGGCAGCGGGCTGTCGTGGCTGTGCTACCGCAACGTGACGTTCAGCGGGGTCGGCATGAGCCTGACGGTGCTGCTTGGGGGGATGACGGGCGACGTGGCGAATGTCACGTTCGATGGATGCACGTGGAGGGACGGCGCCGTGCTATTGCTGTTGGGCAACGTGCACGCCGCTGTGGGGGCGCTGAACATTGTTGTCACCGGCAACACGTTCCATGACGCGCTGCTTAGCCCGGAGGGCGTGTTTCCACCGCGCACGAACATCACGATCAGCGGGAACCGCTTCACTGTCACGAGGCTGGTCCCTCGGTTGGGTTTGGTCCTTAGGAAGCCGTCGTGTGTTGCGATGAATGGACTGGTGATCAGCAACGACTCCGCGGTGGTGCTGAGCGGCAATGTGTTTCAGAGCGTGACGGCATCGTCAAGCGCCATTTACGTTGTCAGATCTGCGCTGAGGGTGTCGTGGCACTCCGTGTTTGCGGTGTTAGGCAACACGTTTCATATGGCTGGCGGTGATGTTACGCTGATATATCTTAAAGGACCTAGCCAGTCCTTGTCGCTGAGTGTACTGAACAACTCTGCCGTGGTGATTCGAGGCAACGCTGTGTCGAGGCCGGTGAAGTGCTTCGTGTTACTTATTTGGGCTTTGCGTGTGGAGTCCCAATCCGCGGTTGTGTTTCAGGGCAACGACATGCAGGGAAGCTCGGTTGTGTTTTATTCAAGCGACTCCTCCAACATCTACTACAACTCCTGGCTGCAGTTGAGCGGCAACCTCTGCCGTGAATCCCCATCGGATGCGTTTGCATTTCTTTATCCCAAAGTGAATCTCCGCGACTCCACGGTGTCTGTGTCCCGCAACCAATTCATTTCTAGCACGGAAACGTCGACAATGCTGCTGATACCTAAAAGTTCCCGCGATATCACAAACGGAGCGATTGTGGCCGCGTGCAACACTGTGAACGGCGAGGAGGAGGCGAACTACGCCATTCCGTCCGTGTACAATGCCACTATCCTGAGCTGCAGCGACCCATGCGCCCTTGCGGCGTCGTGCTTCCCTGCGTACACGACGACGGCCTCGAGTGATGGCTGCGCCTGCACGTGCGCGGAGGGCGGCCATGGCGATGCGTGCCTGCCCGTTGCTGTCCCCGAGCCACCGAGCACCGACGGCGCTGACTTGTGCGTGCGTGACGTGCGTGTGGATGTGGAGGTGAACGCCGGTCTCGGGACGTCGGTAGCGTGCTACGTTGGTGTGACCTTTGCGGCGGACGTCGTGGTGGACGTGGAGTCGATGTCAGGGAGCGTGCGCAAAGTGACGCTGGCGGACTGCACGTTTGTGCGCGGAGCGAGCCTGTACGTTGTTGGGTGGCGTTCCGACCCGCCTGCTGGACAGCGCGCCGATGTGTTGATCAGCGGGCTTGAGTCGCGCTCCGGCGGCGGCGTGCTGGTGGCGAACCGATTTCCGCCGGGCTCGCGCGTCACTGTGGTGGACTCGGTGCTGATCGCAGAGAAGCGCGTTGCGTACCGCGGCGCCTACGGCCTTGGCGACGCGTCCGCGTGCCTCGTGCTGCACAACGTGAATCTGACTGGGAGCGTGCTGACCATCGCGCGCACGCATGTGGCGGCTGTGTTCGGCGACGCTGTTGGCGTGTTGTTTGTTGGCGGCGTGGCGCTGTCGTCGCGCGGAGCGCTGTACGTGGACGGGCTGTTGGTGCAGACGGCGCTGGGGCTGTGCGTGTCGGTGGAGGGCGGTGTTGCGGCCAGCGGCGGCTCCGTGGTGGCGTTTGTTGACAGCGGCTTCCTGCTGTGCAAGCACGCGGTGTATGTGCGTGGGGCTGTGAGCGTGTCGGGCTCCGCTGTGGCGTTTGTGCGGAGCGACTTTTTGTCGACGGAGGACTACGCGGTGGCGTTCTATTCGACGGTGAGCCTGGCCGGCGGGTCGATGCTGCTGGCGAAGGGCAACGTGCACGACGGCGTCTTGAGGGAGATGCTCCACGCCGCTGGCGCCGTGACCGCTGCTGGGAGCACGCTGAGCTTTGTGCGCAACCGAGCGCTGCTGCCACGGATGCTGTCGCTGAGCCTGTCGCTTGTAGCTGGGGCGCATTTGAGGGTGGCGTGCAACGACGCTGGTGGCCGTGTCCTGTCGACGGCGGAGGAGTACGCAGCGGCTGGTTTTGGCGACGCTGGGAGCATCGACTTTGCTGGGTGCGACGCCTGCGAAAGGGACACGCACTGCTACGCGCCTGGGACGGCGTCTGCGAGCATGAGGAACGGTGTGTGCGTGTGCGCGTGCGGCAGCGGCGGGCACGGCGAGGCGTGCATGCCTGTGGGAGCTCCCGCACTGCCGCCCGCTGTGGGCACTGCGTCGAGTGTGTTTGTCCGCGAGGGCGTGACGGTGCGGTCGGTGTTCGTTGTGCCTGCCGGTGCGAGCGAGGTGACGCTGCGCCACGTTGTGCTGGACGGCGTGAGTCCTGTGCTCTACGTGCCGTGGATGGCGCGGGACGGCGTGCGGATCGTTTTGCAGAACGTGTCGCTGCTGAACGGCGCTGTGCTGTACGTGATGGGCGGAGGAGCGCTGCGCGGTGCGGCGGGGAGCGACGAGAGCGGGCCGGTGGAGCTGTCCGTGTGCGACGTGGAGGCGCTGAACGGTGCGCTTGTGCTGACCGGCACGTTTCCCGCGGGGTCTGTGCTGACGGTGACGGACACCCTGCTGGTTGCCGCGAGGCCGACGCCGCTTGTGTATCTTCCCGGCTCGCAGTCCTCGCCGTACGCACCGGTGCTGGTACTGTCGGGCCTGCGGCTTGTGCGGTCCGTGCTGGTTGTGTTCGGCGTTGCTCTCGTGACGGTGATGACTGGTGGGCGGACGGTGGTGGTGGACGGCGCTGTGCTGGAGCTTGTTGGTGGCGGTGTCGCGCTGGACGCGGCTGTGCTCGGTGGCGAATATGCGTTGTACGCGAGTGCGCGCGTGGTTGCGTCGGGGGGCGCTGTGCTGCGCGTGTCGGGGAGCCAGGTGTACGCCGCGCATGGGTTGGTGTTTGGCAGCGGTGTGGAGGCCAACGCGTCCGCCGTCGTGGTGAACGACAACGCCGGTGCGCTGACCGATGGCGCGCTGCTGGTGCTGCGGGGGTTGGCGTCGTTTGTTTCCGGGTCGTGGCTGTCGGTGCGCGGCAACAGCATCAGCGGCAGGCTCCTGTCTGTGCCGTCGTACCCGCGCCGTGCGGAGCTTGTGCAGAGCACACTGACACTCTATGGGAACGCTGGCAGCGGGCCCGTCGTGATGGACGGCACCGTTGCGCTTGTAGGCACCGGCCGAAGGTTCGTCGTGGGGTGCCTGACGCTGAACGGGCAGGCGGTGCAGCCGATGGACTACAGGTCCGCCGGCATCATCGGGGAATTCCGCCCCGTGGCGTGTGGCGTGTGCGACGCCGACGTGCGCTGCTTTGCAGCTGCGACGAGGGCGATGTCGGGGTCGTGTCGCTGCCGCTGTGCTGAGGGCGGGTACGGGCGCGACTGCCTGCCGGTGTACCTGCCGCACGTGGACGGGTGCAACCGCACGCCCGGCATGCCGCTGGTGAGCCACACGGCGACGCTGACGGAGACGCGCAGCCTGACTTCAACGTGGACGCCAACGCCGACACCAACACCGAGCCTGAGCACGGCGCACTACAGTCCGACGCAGCACGGGCCGACGGAGACACTGCAGGTGACGGAGACGGTGGCGCTGTCGCCCACGCGGACGCCGACGGCGTCGGTGAGCAGCACGCTGTGGTGGAGCGACGTGGCGTGCCCGACGCTTACCGTGACGACGACGGCGGCTGGTGGGAGCCTGACGCAGAGCGACATTCGCGGCGGTGGGAGCGTCGTCCCGGCGCGGCTGATGGTGGCGCTGCCGCCGCCGTTTCGGTGGGCACGCGACCCGCAGCTCGGCACGCACCTGGGCTTCGTGCCGGTGTCGACGGCGCAGCCGCGCGGGTTCGGCGGTCCGTGGGGAGCGATGCTGCGCAACGCGACGAATCCGTCCACCGTCCTGGAGCTGGCTGTGCCCGTGCACCGCGGTTACTTCATTGCAGCCGACGAGACGATAGTCATTCGCTGCGACGCTGCGGCGGTGTTCGGCGGCTGCAAGGGTGTGCTGCTTGGGTCCTTCACGATCAGGTCGGACACGCTGCCCGCCGCTGCCAGCGCCCTCTCGGCAATCACCGGCGTTGTTGCGGGTTCGGCGGCTGTTGCCGTGGTGGTGACTGGCGGGCTGGGCTCCATCCTGGAGATGCAGGCGCTCGGCGTGTTGGCGAGGATGCCATGCGCCTCGGCGCAGGAGCGTGCGAGCACCGTTGCGCTGCCGTACTTCCTGTCGGTGTTCGCTGCCCTTGACCCGCTGTGGATGGTGGTGGGCAACGCGCTGCTGGCCGCAGTGTTCGGGTGCGTGCACTGCGGTGTGACGGCGGCCTTCCAGCGGTGGCGCGGCGTGGACGCTGCGAGTGCGTGGGCGGCGATGCGCCTCCCGAGCCTGACGTACGTCGTGGCGCACGCGATGCACCTCGGCATATTCTTTGGCTCCGTGCTTGCACTGGCGATGCCCGGCGCCCGCGTGCAGCACCGCGTGATCGGTGTCGTTTGTGTGCTGTACGGTGTGGCGTTCCCTGCTGGCGTGTGCTACTTGATTGCCCGCCACGTGGGCGCGAGCTTCACGAGGTACTGGCAGTTTTTGAGGAAGCCGTTGCACGAGCGCCTGCTGTACCCTGTCGGGTATTGGCACCCCACGGCGCAGCAGCGGATGTACGGCGGCATGCTGACGAACATGAGGGGCAGCCGCGTGTACTGGTGCGTGTTCCAGCTGTCGGTGCTGTGTGTGGTGTGCCTGATTGCTGCTGTGCACCCGCCCGTGGGAGGCTGCCACGTCCAGTACTTCTGCATGGCGGCTGTGCTGCTTGCGGGTGCGGGCGTGATTGCCTTCACGAACATGATGCGCTCGGCCTTCCTGACGGTGATGCACACTGCGGGCTTTGTGCTCCTTGCGGTGCTGTGCGTGGTGAGCGCGGCCAACCATCTTGCGCCGAGCGACGGCGGTGCGAGGGCGTACGCGGCGATCGTGCTGCTGCTGACGACTGTGCTGCTTTTGGCGACTGTGTACTGCGTGGTTGTGTGGTACGCGGAGGACCGCCACTGGCAGGAGTTGCGCGAGCCGCGGCGTGGAGGGCTGGAGGCGCTGCTGCGCGATGACGAGGAGAGCGACGAGACGCAGAAGCTCCACGACATGACGTCATCGTCGTACGCCTCAGGCACCACCGCTGCGTCGTCGTACCGACCACCCGCACCGCCGTTGCAGTCTGTGACCGGTGACACCCGCTCAGTCGCTCTGAGCTTGTTCGACGGTGCATCCATTGCGAGCTGAATAATTGATCACGTCCTCCTGGACAGGTGAAGATGCTCTGCTTGAAGAAAAATGTAGCGCAGTTTTTTTTTTTTTTAGGTGGAAGGGCTCCGACCCCAACAGTACCGGTACGCGGCGAGAAGGCAAAACGCACCTCGCAGATGCGGCATGACGTAGACGCTTCTGGCGGGTATGTTCTCTCTTTCCATTATTCATAGATTGATTGGGTGATTGCTTCGTTGCTTTTATTTTATTTTATCGATTATCGACGACAACGGATTATTACACTATCACGCTAGCCCGGGGCGGATGCGGAAGGGGTGTGTGTGCGTGTTTTGCGCCC